GTTATTTATAAAAAATCGACGTAATATAATATTTCACACGACTTAATAATATAACAATCGAGGTAATATAATATTTCAGATGACGGTACTTAACTACCGACGTGGTTAGTTTATTAACATGATGTCAATAATAAGCTACTGACGTCTTATGATATAATCACAAAAACAGAGTAGTGATTCCAGATTCAGACCTTTAACGACGTGTTTTAAAAAATTTGGACATAGTAATAATTATCACACGACGCAAAAATGTAACAGAAGACGTAATAAGACTTATCACGGCAATACAATTTAATAAAAATTTAAAACAGAGTGAGTAGGCTTACAATTAATTTTGCTTTCTCTGCAGCCTTTGGATCCGGGATGTTACCATGTTTGTCTTCTCTAGCTTTCTTCCATAAGGTAGATCGATCAATATCTACCACGGGCATGATTTCCTCCAAGTGATCCTCCAAACCAGCATATCCTTTTCGAGACAATCGATGATTGTACTCAAGTTTCTCCCTCCTCTGTGATTGTTCAGAATGCACAACCACAAATTTTTTAGATAACCTTGAAGCTACAAAGGCATCCCAGTCAACTTTCTCTATGAATTTGTATATTTCAGGGGGTTGCCTTAATTTCTCCTTCTCCTTGATGAATGGAAGGATATAATGCCTCGTTAGTGTAGACTTGAAATCCTTCCATTTCTTGGCAGCAGAAGATAACACCATTTTCTTGCCCCCTTGACCAACCACAAAAGCCATGTCACCGGCTTCCCAAATCTGATCTTTTATATCCTTGGATATTTGAACCCATTTCTTGTCCACAAGTGGGGCTCTGGAGCGTGCCAACACACCAATGTAGGACTGCATCTCAACAACAGGCTTGATTTTCTGAAATTTTCTCTTCACAACACGGGGCATTGTGCTTATACCCCGACCTGACTTTGGCTCCTCAGAAAATGTTGTTGTGCTGCCTGCTGGTTCTGTCTTAGCAGATGAAACAAACTTCATCTTCTTCGAGGACTTGGCTTGAGGATTTACAACTCTAAGCTCCTTACATTCATTTTTTTTAAGTCAGAATCCTTACTTTGGGATTGAGAAACCATGGTTACAGACAAATCAAACCTGCAAGTGAAAATATTTCCGTGAAATTAAGAAAAAACACGACGGTTATTTATAAAATCCGACGTTTTAAAATATTTCAAACGACGTAAGACAAAACAATCGACGTAATAATAAATTTTAACGATGGTAATTAACCACCGACGTGATTATATATTACAACAATGTTAATAATAAACAACCGACGTCTTATGATATAATTACAAAAAATAGAGGATTAAATATTACAACGACGTTAATAATCAACATTCGATGTGGTATTGAAATTAAAACGATGTAAATAATAATATACCGTCGTCTATACCACAGAAAAACAAATTAGGAAAAACGTAAAATATTTTCAACAAAAAAATAATTAAAAAGATTTTCAAAACAAAAACCATTGTTCAGAGAAATCAAACCTGCGATG